GGAAGCAGCGATGAGCTCGCTAGCCGCTGAAGGAGGCATAGAAAGTATATTCTGCTTCTATGTGTGCAGCGGCTGCTGTAGCAGCAGCTGCTGCTCCTGCTGCTCCTGCTGCTAGGTGATCAAGGACCTGCTTCTTCAGAGCCGTTTATGGGCTCCTCTGTGTTTCTTCGGGTACTGCCCTCGTTCTCTGAGGTGTGGCCCATGTGGCCATACCGCTGCGTGCCGTGCGTCAACTTGGGAACAGCCCGCTGGCTGCAAGCAGCAGCAGCAAAAGCAGCAGCAACAGCAGCAGCAACAGCAGAAACAAGACACACACACACACACACACACACACACACACACACACACACACAGAAGCGGTAAAGGCAAACTCCACTACGGAAACCAGCAACAGCAACTTCACCTAATGTGAAAGGACAAGAGATGTACAAACCCTAAAGCCACTGTCCTACAGATATAGCTGTTTCCCCACCAAATCCTAACCCGATTGAAGTGTATATAGATACACCCCAATATATGATGGATGTTGATTCATCCTTGCACCCCTAATAAAATACAGACTCTTACCGGCGTGAGCTGACGGGGCTTCCGTTCATGCCGTGGCTGCTTTCGTAGCTCCTGCTGCCTTCATCAGCTCGTGAGCTGAGAGAAAGAAAGCAGAACAGCACAAATATGGAAGTAGCCATTAGAAGGGGCCAAGAAGCATACCGGCAGGCCAGGGCAGCACGGTCACCGGGTGTACGTACACACACTCAGGCTCTATGCAGCAGCATGCAGACGCCACAGGCGTTATTTTGCTAGTGCGGGGGAACTCTATTAGTATATTTAACCCTATTTCTTTTATCACGGTGTTTTCTTGCTGTCTGTCGCTTGCTGTGGGTTCGGGTGTATGCTCACCTGGAGGTTGCTCGGGAGCGCAGGCCGGCGCAGATATATCGTTCATTGATTTTGAGGCCCCTGAAGATAGGAGCGAAGCCGAGAACAATCCCTAGGAGCAACCCCACAACTGTGGAGGCGACGATCCCAGCAACTCCCAGGCTGGGGAACGTGAAGACACCGATGACTGCGCCGCTCCCGAGACCACCGAGGGCCCCCAGCCAGGCTCCCCGGCGCCCCACGAGGACCGTAGCGACCAGCAAGCTCATGAGTGACCCCCCAAGGTATAGGGCCCCCGCCCAGCAGGATGGAGGAACCAAACCCCCAACAAGCCCCCCAACCACCAGGCCAATGCCCCCAGCCACCAGCAGCCAGTTGCCGCCGCCCCTGTAGAAGTTGGAGGCTACCAGACCCTGTACAGACACCGCAACACTTCATTGAAGACCAAACATAATTTAACAAATATAAATGACACTCTGGTTTCATATGCTTATAGCGAAATAACTACACATATATATGCCCCACCAAATAAACAGAAATTAATTATTTATATAGGTTTTGGGGCTTTAAGGGTTTTCTCTGCTGTTTAGGGTTTAGGGTTTAGGGTTTTATAAAAGGTTTTTATAGGAGACAGACAGAAAAGGCGAAGGAAAACTAAAAAAAAGGAACAGAGAAGACTGAACCCGCTCTACGGTGTACAGACACCACAAGCCTTTTAGCTGAGGCTTGGGGGGAGAGAAACGTTAAATAGAAACACTTTTGCTGCATTTATCTCTTTTTTTTTTTGTTTGCCTGTCTGTTTGTCTGTCTCCACATGTGTCTCTACTGGCGTGCTTTTCTTCTATCTCTCTCTGCACTGTCACGACCCCAAACCCTAAACCGCAAACCCTTTTTCAGTAGGGCGTATATCTCTTCGGCTACATCTCCTGCATATGCATCCCCCGATTTACGGTCTAGGGTCTACTAGGGTTTAGGGTTTAGGGTTTAGGGTTTAGCTTGCCTGGGAGTAGAGAGCAGCCGTCATATAGAAAGCGATGAATGTAATAACAGCGTAAAAACAAAACACCAAAATACTCAGAGACCAAACGGGCCAGCACGAGCAGTCATCAAGACACACGTCAGAGTCCTGCAGCATACAAACAAAAAACAATACATAAATAAATAAATAAATAAATACATGTATAAATAGATTCATAAATAAACAGATATATAAATACTAAGAAAATAAATGGACATATACACGCACAAATTAATAATTAAATAAGCGTATAAATACATAAACAAACGGATACAGAAACAAAAAAGGAAACAAATAC